GCACTGCAACCTCTGCCTTCCGGGTTTAAGCAGTTCTGCTGCCTCAGCCTCCTGAGTAGCTGGGATTACAGGCATCCACCCACATGCCCAGCTGATTTGTGTATTTTTAGTAGAGATGGGGTTTCCCTTGTTGGCCAGAATGGTCTTTATCTCTTGACCTCATGATCCACCTGTCTCGGCCTCCCAAAGTGCTGGGATTACAGGCGTGAGCCACCGTGCCTAGACAGTACTTTATTATTAATTATAGGTGGCTGGTGAGAACTGTAGGCTGATGAGATGCAGCTGGTGAAGAGTGCCTGAGGTGAGACCTGGACTTTCCTTGTGGAAATGGATCCAGTAATGTTGATGCGGTGAAATCTTGATCCTTGGCATTATAATGCTCTAATAAAAAGATTGTTAAAGAACTCAATACTGCCTTTTAATCACTCTGCAATTACGTTGGATTTATGATTTATGAATTTTTCTTCTTGTTCTTTTGCAAGCCATTAGCATTTTATCAAACACCAGATGTCCTCTTTCTGTTTTTAAAAAGGTAAGGTGTAGGACTCTGGTTAAGCGTCGGCCTTCGGGGATCTGTAGACCCTGATCCTGCCGCTGTGGGCCTCGGTTACACTTAGACGCTAGGCCTCCCTGCCCAGCCCTGGTCTTGTAAGACAGACTCACTGCAGGAAGGCGTGCAGGCCCCCGAGCCGTCCTGTCCTTCGCTCCTTGCTGGGACTTGTATACAGAGCATGCACGTGATCCTGAAAGTGTACTTTTCAGCCACTTTCAGAATTCCTTGGACATCGTTCCAACAATAGGTTCACATTTGATTTCTGATCTGAGACAAATAATGGTGATATAATGGATGCAGAATTCTATGCTTTGGCTTTAAATCTATTTTATTCCTTACCGGTGGTAACTTGTTTTCCTGAAGCCAAGGAAGGCCCAGTCCTGCCTTGTGGGCCATGGGCCTCGACTGGGCAAGGGTAGCCAATGTTAAACAGCTGCATAGCCTAAGTAAATGTGTGAAAAAGAGGGTTCCAATAGGTTCAGCTAAGCCTATTTGTCCATTTGGGATAGGGGCACAACTCTTTTCTTTAAATATTATTAGATTCATAGAGCTGGGTTGAAAGGGGAAACTGAGGCCCCCAGAGGCGAGAAGAGCCGAGACCAAGGACTGAGAAAGCCTCGGCCTTTTTTTTTTTTTTTTTTTTTTTTTAAAAAAAAACTATGGCACAGACATCATCTTCACTAGCTGCTTGTTAACTGTAAGGAAAAATATAATGACCCGATTGCAGGAATTTTCCTTCTCTTTCTCTTCCGCTCCTGTCCGTTCTCAGCCCGCAGGCCGAGAAGTTTAATTGCGTCTGCCGGGCGGGTGTTTTCTCATGGGGATTAGAGCAGGCTAAATTGGGCTTTAACGCTTAGTGGGATAACAGAGCTTCCTGAGGAATGTGAACCTAATTAGGGATTCCAGGGTCAAGCCTGACAAAGGGGACACAGAAGCAAAGTTAGGGCAAGCTCTTGAAGGAAGCAAAGAAAGTTAATAAAGTCTCGAATGTCCTCATTTTGTACTGCTGTTCTTTGTATAGGTCTGTTGTTGTTTGCAGGCTTGTGTTGAAAGTCTGACCCTGGGCCTTTCTTCAATCCTCCACGGAGCCCCCTGTCCCTCGGCAACATGGGAGGGGCAGCCTTGAATGATGAGTAAGGCCACCTTCGCCAAGTCAGGAGCCCCCGGCCCCACCTGGGGGACCCAGCTCCTGTTGGTGTGCCCAAGAACGTTCTGTTTCCACCTGACGTCTCCACCTGACCTGTCAGACCTTTGATGGTTAGTGTTAGGTGTTGTGCTTTGTTCCCCAAATTCAAATGTTGAAGCCCGAATCCCGAGGACCCTAGAATGTGGCCGGATTTGGAGATAAGGTCTTTAAAAAGGTAATCAGGTTAAAAGAGGGTCATTAGGGTGGGCCTAATCCAGTATGACTGGTGTCCTTAGAGAGACTGGGATACAGATACACACAAGGAATAGCCATGTGAGGACACAGGGAGATGGCGGCAGTCTGTAGGCCCGGGAGAGAGGCCTCAGGAGGAACCACCCTGCCCACACCTTCATCTCAGACCCCTAGCCTCCAGGACTGTGGAAGGATGAACAGCTGTGGTGTCGGCAGCCCATTCTGTGGTATGTTGTCACGGCAGCTGCCCCTAACCTGAGCTAAGACTGTTGGTTACTTTTTATTTTTATTTTTTTTGAGACAGAGTCTCACTCTGTCACCCAGGCTGGAGTGCAGTGGTACGAACTTGGCTCACTGCAACCTCCACCTCCCGGGTTCAAGCGATTCTCCTGCCTCAGCCTCCTGGGTAGCTAAGACTACAGGTATGTGCCACCATACCTGGCTAATTTTTTATATTTTTAGTAGAGATGGGGTTTCACCATATTGGCCAAGCTGGTCTCGAACTCTTGACCTTATGGTTCGCCTGCCTCAGCCTCCCAAAGTGCTGGGATTACAGGTGTGAGCCATAGTACCCGGTGACTGCTGGTTATTTAAGCAGATATATGCTTCCATCAGTGTCCGCAGTGGGAATGAGGGGACTTTTCTTTTGTCATTATTCTCCCCCACCCTGCCACTTATAATAAATACAAACAAATGAACCGTGTATCCTTTTTCGATCTTAAGTAATGGTGAATTAAAGATCTTACTGTTTTATCGATCAGTAACATACAATGTAAAAAGTCAGAGCTGTGGTATAATAGAAGTGCTTTGGCCGGGTGAGGTGGCTCACGCCCGTAATCTTAGCACTTTGGTAGGCCGAGGTGAACGGATCACCTGAGGTCGGGAGTTTGAGATCAACTTGACCAACACAGAGAAACCGTGTCTCTACCAAAAATACAAAATTAGCTGGGTGTAGTGGTGCATGCCTGTAATCCCAGCTACTTGGGAGGCTGAGGAGAATTGCTTGAACCTGGGAGGCAGAGGTTGTGGTGAGCCGAGATTGCACCATTGCAGTCCAGCCTGGGCAACGAAAGTAAAACTACATCTCAAAAAAAAAAAAAAAGGAAGAAATGCCTCTTGGTAAAAGCCCCACCTCTCCTTGTAACCAGGCTGCTACTCAGTGTAGAGATTAGAGAAGAGTCTCAACGCCCCAATTATATCCTAAGGTCCTGGTGGCCAGCAGATGTTTGGCATCTGTATCTATTTTTCCCTGGCTAGTTCAAGGCCTCTGAGGCAGGTTACCTCTGACTGTTTTCATGACTTAGGAAAGAAAGTACTGCCATGCCATCATGAAGTTTCTTTAAGAAGAATCGTTTTGTAACAATAAAACAAAAGTAAGCTTCATTTCTGATTCTTTGCAACTTAGAGTTCAGGTTTTTTTTTTTTTTTTGAGACAGAGTCTCACCCTGTTGCCCAGGCTGGAGTGCTGTGGCACGATCTCGGCTCACTGCAACCTCTGCCTCCCGGGTTTGTGCAATTCTGTGCCTCAGCCTCTCGAGTAGCTGGGATTACAGGTGCCCACTGCCACACCCAGCTAATTTTTGTATTTTTAGTAGAGATAAGGTTTCACCATCTTGGCCAGGCTGGTCTTGAATCCCTGACCTCATGATCCAAATGCCTTGGCCTCCCAAAGTGCTGGGACTACAGGCGTGAGCCACCAGGCCTGGCCTAGAGTTGAAATTATTATGATTTATTTTATGTATGATAGAACTTGTGCATAAGGTGATGTCTCTGCACTTGGCTTGACTCAGTGAATTGCTTTCTCCCCTATCCGAAAGGTTTGGCAAGGTCAGTGGCTGGCCCTTTCATCTCTACTCAGTTTCCACTTGTTTTGCACCTGAATGCTGGCCCACGGATTCACGTTCCGTGGTGTGTGTGCATTTGTGGAATGTGTTTCTTTGCGGTGGGTTGGTACTGTCGAGCTGATCCTCCTTTCCAGAATCCTGACATGAACAAGGTTTGCCCAGGCCTGCTTGATGCCAAAGTAGAGACTTCACCTGTGGGCAGAATGACCTCGAGAACAAGCAGGAGGAAACAGAGGATCCCAAGCCTTCAGGCTTTCCCTGTAGCAGCCACGTGTGTAAAAGCATGCTTGACACTTGAGGGTACTCCTCACTTCATGTCTTGTTTTTTTTTTTTTTTTTT